AGTTAGTAGTAGAGAGAGAGAGAGAGAGAGAGAGAGAGAGAGAGAGAGGCAGTAAACGACTGGCTATCAGAAACTTCAGTCTCCGATGATGTCTAGTATCGGACCGGTTCACTGCACGAATTTTGATATTGCAATCACAGCTGTGGCCGAAAGAAATGACGGCAGCTACGATGAACCAAATAACTAGTGCTGTAGCACGTAACCATACTGCATGACTGTAATTGCCAAATGTGGTCACATCCGATGAACAAGAAACGATCAGATCGCGTGGTACTTGCGCAAACAAGAGAACGAATCTGTGTGGGACGGCAGTGCTAAGAGGACTCAGAAGCAAGTAGATTTCTACTTGAGCCAATGAATGAAATTACTGTGATTCATTGACCACAACCAACCTCGTTTCAGAGATTACGATCCTCCAAGAGTCCATGCACCCGATTCCTTTAAGCATACCTTAAAAACCACTAAATATATGATAGCAAACGACCACCACAAGGTAGATTCAAAATGAGACACTGACCTACCATCACTAAGTTCTTCGGCAGCCATGGTTCTCTTCTTGTTCCTCAACGAAGATGGAATACTTTCTTCTTCTGCTTGAGCAGACTCGAGCTAGTTGCTGGTTCTCTGAGCCGTGGCTAAATTTGAGCTTCCATGGCTTGTGGCGAGGCCATGAACAGAAAATTATAAGATGTTGCCAGATGAGGAAGAGTTGAAGCCCGAGAGATCTGTGGCCCAACCCCCGCTGCCGGTGCTGCCACCTTCACCACTGATCCAGTAGTGCTCGTTCCCGGGAAGACCCGGGTACTGCCTCGCCAAATTGAGTCCCTGTGAGTTGTCTTCCATCTTCACCGAAGCCAACTGCGAGATCAGCGAAGATCCAGAAACCGTGGGAAGTACTCGACTCGTGATGCGGTTGTTCCCGCTGTCACCGTTGAAATGGTGCAACCCGGACAACGGTTGCACCGAAGGCGCCTGTGCTGACTCCAGTCCTCCCAAGAAAGGGAATTGCTGGATGTGCGGCAACCTCCACTGCTGGAGCCCCAGACTCGAGCTGCTTCCCGCCTGATAGTCCACCGCATCGATGGTTGGAATTCCGGTAAAGTTCAGGCCGAGATTCGAGGCACCATAGTCGGCCAAAGCGTGCATGGTGGAGGCCAGGAAGGGAAAATGGCCTGGCTGGGGTATGCTAGGTGGAATTGGACCGCCGCCACCCGCGGCGGTCGAAGACGAGGATGATGCGCCAGCCTGGCGGTCGGCGGCCGTCGACTTTGACGAGCTCCCCGAAGGCTTATTCCGCTTGTTGCGACGGCAGCCCCCGCCCACGGGAACATTTCGAAGTGCGCCGCCTCGGGTCCAGTAGCGGCGGCAGGTCTTGCAGAAGTGGCGAGGCTGCGACAGGGAGTAGTTGTTGAAGTAGCAAAACTTGGTGTTGGTGGAGTCGCACCGCGGGCACTTGAGAGGTTGATCCGGCTGCGGGATCTTGGCGAGGCGGGCTCGTTCGGTCATAGACATAGGCCTGGGCGAGCCTGCAGCTGCCATGCCAGCTTCCGGTCGCTGTGCAGCCAACCCCGGAAGGAGCTGAGGGATCTCACCACCTCCACCTGCAGCATCCGGAAGCTGAAGCTGCTGTTGCTGAACATGCCAATAGAGAGAAAAAAGATCTAAGGTATACTTGACAGTATATTCAAGAAGAGCTAAGGAAAGGGACATGAATATCTTCTCCTTTTATTTGCTTTTTTGATCAAGAGGTCAAAAGAAATAGAACCACAGATGGAAGGGAGGAAGAGGGAAGGCAGTAAGACGCACCTGGTTCCAGTTGGGTGGATCCAGATAGACTGGAACAGAAGGGAACACCATCTTTATTTCTTCTTCTTCTTCTTCTTCTTCTTCTTCTTTCTAATACATCTTTCTTAAAGAAGAAGAAGATGGAGAATCAAAGATCTACGAGCAGTAGCAGGCAAAGAGAGGAAAGGCGAGGGGTGGGGGGCGGGGGGGGGGGGCGGTAGAGACAGCAAGAGGAGTAGAGGAGTGGAGGGGAAAAGGAGGCGATGGATTCCTTTTCTTTGTGGTGCCTTTTATATTTTATAGGTAGGCTTGGCCGAAGAGAGATGGGGACGGAGACAGAGTTTCTTGGGCTTTAAGGATCTCAGTGTTAATGAGAGGAGCACCACATTAGGCTAGCAGGGGTGTAAGAATTGTAAAGGAAGAAGAAGAGTGTGGAAACCCTAATGGCATGGCATGATAATTTGGAAGAGAGATATTAAACTCTGGTGACAATGAAAGACATGGAAAAGTTTGGCTTTAGTGGTGTAAAATCGTCATAGCACCTCTCTCTCTCTCTCTCTCTCTCTCTCTCCCTCTCACTCTCAAACACACTGTGACTTTGCTAGAGACGTGATTTACATAGATGCAATATTCTTAGTAAATGTTGCATAGTGAGTGACACCTATGCAGTGCAGATCAATCACATGTATAATCAAGTTGGTAAACCAGAGCTTTATACGTACATGCATGCATTTACAATGTGAAGAAAAACTTCACTGTGGACTATAAAATAGTATGATGAAAAGTTCCCATCAACAGAGAAAATATCTATTATCTAAAATCGTTCACCACTTTTCACCAAACTGAATGTGCATATATGATTTGATTAATCAACAGCACCCCCAAACATTCAATATTAAGTGATTTGATGGCATCAGTAGCATAGCACATTGTTCAGATGGTCCATATATGATCTGCTTGAATTAACTTCTAGACTAGAAGCCAAGCTAGGTTGAGAGAATGAGTGCCAGCATATATGACATCCAGCTTGATGGGCAAAAGAAAAGAAAATTGCAATTGCTTCTTCATCAGTGATTCCATCTAATGTTCTAAAACAACTGATGTGTTTCAGTAGGCATATTTAGGAAAGTTGCATTACCCACTTTACTGGCAATGTCAGTGATAAATTGTAATTAACACGATGCTCTAAAGACAATTAAGTGCCTTTTTCTTTAGTTATCACATCTCTCTCTCTCTCTCTCTCTCTCTTTCTCTATAGATAAACACACCTTTTCTGCAGAAGCACAATAATAATGTTATTTCGTTCTATTCGAGCCCACCAAAAGATACTATCTTTGTCGAACGAAGTAGAACACATCCATATATGCTGCTGTGCGTGAACCTCGACTTCTAATTCGTGAATCAGTCACAGATCTTGTCATCAGAAGGTGACAACAGAAACATCTGAGTCAGAACTTGGAGTTTAAGCTGACAATCTGCATGCCTTGGCCACGCCTGACGCTATATAGCCAATTTAGGTGGAATCACAGATTTGAATGCTGTGTGGAATCACGGAATTGTGGTTTGTCGACTAATCTCGCCGCCATCACCATAATCTTGACGTTTTTTTATTCGTCCCTTCACCTTTACTGTTGTCCTATGAATTCTCAGCGTACAAAATTAAGCCAAAAGAAAAGAAATCCAATTTGCGTGTGTGTGTGTGTGAGAGAGAGAGAGAATCTGATGAGACTCGCCGAGAGAATGACCATCAAAAGCTTCGAGCTTCTTCCGTCAACGTGTCATTTAATTGTCGCCATCAAACTCGACGGAGAAGGATGGGCATTACTTCTTGTTGGCATCGTCGTTTCGGTGAACCAATGGCAGCTCATAGCATGTCAAGATCACATCTTTTTGTTCGGCAATGGTCTTGATTCCGAATCCTACTTAACTGCTTTTAGTGTTTGAATTATCTTGCTCGATTACCGGACATGGAGGTTGGTGGGATTGGAGCACTGCGCAGCCGTGTGCTTTGTAGTCTGCAGAACGTTTCCAGTTATTGACCACCCGTAGCTCAAGAGGAGGTCCCGTTCAAACCTCGAGAGATATGCTCAGTTCCCTGAGCAGAACAGCTTCATAGATCAAACTTGACAGCTGAGGAAAGGAGATAAAGATGGTTTGGTGGAATGATTTCTCATTGAAATCAACATGCAGAAGCTTCTTCGGACGACCGAAACATATTCCGTCGAACGACATGAGGTCACCGTTTTGTTTTATTATTGCTGCAAGCGAAGTCAATCTGTGGAAACTCCTTATGTACATGGCGTTCATCTTTATTATGATATTGCAATGCTTGGATTTAGATTACACATCATGTGAAGATATATGCTACATAATTATAATGTTATGAACATTAAGTTTTATATTTTTATTAGATCATAATAAATGGTAAATGCATATTATGTTTCTTATCCGAAAATATATTTGCCAATGTCTTTCATGCATCTTCGTTGGAAATATTTCTGAAAAGCTTGAATGGTCTCTTTGGAGTACATTATAGCAAAGATAAGTTGGACCACCTCTCTTCTTCCACCTTTCCATCCTCACGTACAGCTTAATTAAATGAAGGAATATTTTCTACAGGCTGCCCTGACTAATCTATACGACGTTTGAGCACAGCACCATGCGTAATACTAGTATTAAAGTCTCACAAAGCGGGCATCAATTATGGTAGTTAGCATAATTAACCAAAAGCACCGAGAACAAGTCTTCTAAGAAAAAATATCCTATCCGGGAAGATAAAGAGTGATAGAAATTTTGGCATCAGATGATACAATATCAAAACAATGCACAAATCTTGAAGGCTAAACCAGCGATCTGAGAGAAGAAGGCGCATGCAAGCTTTACTGGTGCTTACTGCATGGGCCGTAAGTGCTGTTTCGTGCACCGCCACCGGGTGTTTGGGTTAAAGCAAAAGGTAGAGGAGGGGGAATAAAACATGGCCTGGGATTCCCTTGGACTTTTGTCTCCGATGTGACTCATCTTCTTTAGGGCGTAAAAATGGAACGAGGAGAATGGCCCCGAGAGTCTCCGTTCCTGCTATTTTGAATGAGGGTTGAGCCATTATAACCCCATGCGCTTTCTTTTCCTGTATACGCTTTGCTTTGCTTTGCTTTTGGCCGGTGACCCCGTCGGACGGGCGGATGCTTAGGACAAGCATTGCATTTTACAAAGGTTGGTCTGCACCTGCAAATTCATGGCAGAAAGCATTCATGCAAAAGTTGCAAAGCAAAGACAAGATGTAGACACTTCAGCTCCACAGAAGCTTGGCGGAAGGGGTTATGACGACGCTGCTTCTGCAACAACTCCATCCAAGTCTTCTCATCCACCAGTTGATCCAGAAACGCAACTGGGATGGATATGGAGTCCACGTGGAAATCGACCTCTCGTACAGGAAAAGGACAGTTCGTAGACCAACGACATGTACCGGTGTTGGACCTAACAATAGTTTCGCATCCTGTGGCACAAACCGTCTTAAACCTTTCTGCTGTAGACTAATGATTCTTGGAAGTGACATGGAGAACGATCCCCTCGTCAATACGTACAGACCTGTCCAAGTTTGAACCTCCCCAAGAACGAGAATCTTGCTTATATACTTCGTCGGAAACCATGCATCTTGCTTCCGATCAACAAGTCTTCGAGGGCCTTCATGGCCACGAAGCCTCACCATCTGTGCCTCCGTAGTTTCCTCTCCTCCAATTGGACCTGAAAGGAGGCGTTTGCTTTGCTGTTCGTCCCTCATCAGAGTAAGTTGAAGCTACATTTACTTGGTCGATGCCTTCCTCCGGCAGAAGTTTGGTGAAGAAACAAACAGGTAGCACACCTCTGCAACAAGATCCAAGAACAGGCAACCCCAGACAAGAAAATAGCATGCCCAGGAACTAGTATTCATCTGGGAGCTTCCTAATGATCACCACCTTCTCTACCTAACGCCAATGGAATCGTAAACAACTGCATCCATCAACCATGGCCACGGAGATTACATTCCGACACCCATGTTTGGATCAGGACATCTCATCGGTGAAGGGGTCCATCTTCGGTCACGAGTCTCGATCCTTATCCGTCTTAAAGCTCGATCGGGTCCAGTACTCTTGCTGTTTTGCTTATTTCCATGTCCAGCTAATCTCTGTCAAGCCGGACATTGTTCAACCTGCAAACAATTCCTAGAAGCCATGAACCAGAAGTCTCTTCCGTCTCGCTCTGTCTTCTTCCAATGCTACATTTTGACCACTGCCAACCTTATCTAAAAGCTTTGACTCATAGATGCGACAACATTGTAATGCAGCCTTCGCTCTCATACCATGTTAAATTCTGAATCAGCATGAATCCATCTGAAGCCTGGGATAGAATCTGCCCAACTAGAATTATGAGCATTCCAATCACCTGCATGCAAATTAAACTTTTTGATCAGCTGCTCTGAGCCCTGAATGAAAGAACACACAGTTTGATGGGCCACAAAGGATGCTGCTCTCTTCTGCTTCGGCAGTATTGTGTATCGCTCCATATGCTAGCAACTGTCTTCATCAGAGAGAGAGAGAGAGAGAGAGAGAGAGAGGAACACTCCCATTCCATTAGTAAGATTTGGACCGAATCCAAAGCCCCTAAGTCATGTAAGATTTGGGCCTTCCTATATGTGTCTTACGGGCCCAATGAGGATATAACCTGCCGGTATACCTTTTAGCGATACCCACCTGACTTGCGAGAAAGGCTGTTGTTGGAAGTGGGTCCCACGTGAGTGGCCTTTATAGTCTCCAATCACAAGTCAGGTATGAATGTCGGTTCCTCAGGATAGAAAGGAATCGTGTTCAATAAGATTATAGTATTCCAGCGAATCCGCAACCAATCCACGACCATTGTCTCGTCCGCGAGAGGTCGGTGGTTCGAGCGAAGCAATCTCACGGATCGAAGCAAAAGGGAAAGACCGTCAGAACTCCTATTTCCTCCGATTCGCACACCGACTCGATCAATTAACGCAACAGAAAGGGTGGAAGAGATTTGAAACCTGTTGACCAATCTCTCACGATGAGTTTTATCTTCGGGAAGCGGAAAACCCCCGCAGGTACGCTTCCCGATCTCAGATCTTCTTCATTTGGTTGATCTTGCGTCATTATTTCATGGGAAACAGGGAATTGCTGTACGTCTGATCGGTTATCTCCGTAAAAGAAGTAGTTTTCTTTTGATATCAGGATTTAGGGTTCCAAGCTTTTCTTTTGATTTTTCAAGCGAGAATAGAATGTTATTTGAGTGATGTAATTCGTCGGTTCCCTGAGAAGAAAGTTGATTTGGATTTGAAGCCTTATGGTTCATCATAATTTTGTCGGCAGAATTGCTGAGGGAGAATAAGAGAATGTTGGACAAATCAATCAGGGAAATAGAAAGAGAGAGGCAAGGGCTTCAAGCACAGGAGAAAAAGCTTATTGTGGAGATCAAGAAAACCGCTAAGCAGGGGCAAATGGTATATTTCCTTTTTGCAACTACTATACATTTTATATATCCGATCATGAGTATTTGTCTGCAAAGATTGTTTTCTGCGGCATGTTAGCTTGATCACGATCCGAATTTCTAATTTGTTGATGCACCAAAACTCTGAATTGACCATAGAAGATGGTTCCGTGTCTTATTAGAAAGTTCTTTATACAGGATTTACATTGAGATTATAATGGTATGAACTCAAACCGGTTGACACCAAGAATTAGAATGAAATGAGAAATATTTCTAGAAGTCAAGGAGGAGAAAAGGAGTTGGAATCCAAAAGAGAGGGAAAGTAGTCGTTTACATGCTTGTAAAAGTTAGCCGGTTCATTGCGTAGATGTTAGCTGAACTTTATCTATAGACTAGGAGTGCACATGTTGACACCGATCACCGTATCTATGGACTAGGCCTACACACGCTGTGAGGATGGTGAAGCAGAAAGCTGTTAATGCCTTTCTAATAGATGCCACTTCTTTGAAGATTTGTAGAATGTAAATTCATTTTTCGTTATAAAAAAATCATGAGTTCCCCTTCTTGATCTTTATTGACTAAGCTGCATTTCTGTATAGGATAGTATGCCTCTCTTGTGTCGAAGAAAAAGAGTGGTGTCACTCTGTTAATGTAGACTATGATTTTCTCACATTTTATAGAGTTATATGTCACCGATCCTGTGATTTGAGTTTTCTCTGTGAGTGACACATTTCTAGTATATGCTTCACACATTCTTCATGTTTTCCTTGGTTATTTTCTAACATCCTGATAATCTAAAAATCCTGGTACTTCTTTTTGCTGTGACTCTATGTTTTAACTTTCTGTGTTGGTTGGCCATTATCTATGGATGTCATCTGGTAGATGCTTGATATCAAAACTGTTTAATTTCTGTGCACATTTGAGATTAGTGCTAGCTTTTTTGCTGTATGAATTGCCTATTCTTGTTAGATATTACTTGTGACAGGGAGCAGTGAAGGTCATGGCAAAGGACCTCATCCGAACGAGACATCAAATTACTAAATTTTATGCTCTCAAATCACAGCTTCAAGGTGTATCCCTCAGAATCCAGGTAAACAAATGTCATCTTATTACATCTATTGCTTGCCATTCATTGAGATTGCATAGCTTTTCTCCTTATTATCCAGCTAGATATGTAAATTGCTCAAAGGTAAACGTGTAACATAATCAACCAAGAAACAGTTGCTTCTGAGGACAAAGATGCATGATTGTTGTTTTTCGTTTGAAAACAAAGAAATTGGGTGATTATGGGAGAAATGCCTTTTTTGTGATTCTCCAGACGCTGAAATCGACCCAAGCAATGGGAGAAGCAATGAAAGGTGTTACAAAGGCTATGGGACAGATGAACAGGCAAATGAACCTGCCTGCGCTACAGAAGATAATGCAAGAGTTCGAGCGACAAAATGAGAGGATGGAAATGGTCAGCGAGGTTATGGGAGATGCCATAGATGACGCTTTGGAAGGAGATGAGGAAGAGGAAGAAACTGAGGAGCTTGTGAACCAAGTCCTCGATGAAATTGGAATCGACATTAACGCAGAGGTGCACCTAAATATTAATTTTACGTTCCTCTCCGGCTCATATAGAGGGATTCCTTTTGTTTATTGCATTGAAATAAGTAGGTGGACTGATTGGCACATCTTTGCTTGCAGCTTGTCAAGGCACCTTCAACCGCAGTGGCTAAGACAGAGGCAACTAAAAAGGTTGCCCAAGCTGAAGCAGCTGGAACCGAAGATGGCGGAATCGATGATGAATTACAAGCAAGGTTGGACAATCTAAGAAAAATGTGAGCTGAGAACTGTAGTTAATTCTGTAAAATTGCTACACAATAATTGCATCGCTGTCTGGTATTTTGTGCCGCCTCATAAAATCTGTCTGGCTTGAAAGCTTTTTGTATTTCACTCCTTTTCCATGCACTTGTTGGCCTTCCTTGTTTGAAGCGATTATTAGGCCTGTAGTGTCATGCTGTCAATTATGACGATCAAAATTCTATTTGATACATAAAATTCATGACATCTAAGTAAGAAAATTAATGACATGTTACACTGGTGCTTAATGACATGTTAGTGGTTAACCCATTGATTTAGATGGTTTCTGCATAACCTGCATGAGCCGGAAAAAGAAAATTAATGTACTCATAAATCTTTTATATTATTTGTTATTCAGGCTATTTATATTTATATCATAAGAAGGTGGAGGGAAGAAGAAGTGAGCACTTACGTGGGGGCGCTCGATCACTGTGTCGTCGTTCTCTCGTCATTCCTCTTCTTCATCTTCCCTTCGATTCTCGTCTCTCTCCATTGTTTCCATCTATCTACTTCTCTTCCTTGGATCACTCTCCTGCCTCCCTCCCGTCTTCTCTTAGCTGATATCATAGTAATTTATCCTTACCATGCTAAATCAACTCAACTCGTTTTCCACTCCAATCCAAGGCAATACTTTCGACCACTGTAATGTCGAAAATTGTTCGATATCCATTTAGTTTACAACATTTTCGATTTTTAAAACAATTCTTATATTTCATATAATTTTACTTAATTGTTATATAATTTAGAAAGATTTTTAATTAAGTAAACGATCCAACCGAAGTTGGTTCTGATAATTATGCTTTCAATTAAAATAAATAAATAAATTAATTAAAATCCGCCCAGTCCGATTTATCCCAATCGGAATTCACGAAATGGAAAGAAATTAAAATCGCAATTTCTTATAATCAAAAAGCCTCTGACACCCAATGATATGATATATCTCTTACCAACTATTTCGAATCTCCAACCATAATTGCGGTGCATGAAATTGGAACCATGCAATATATATATATTCTTCCTCGCAGCAGCGTCTAACCTTCCATTCTTGCCAGCTATCGTGAAATCAATCAATTAACGCTAATTGCCTCCGTAAACAGATTCCGTGAATCTAATCAGATGAACTATCCGTGATCAGCGACGTTAACTCCCCTCTAATTGCGCCTCCAACCTCTATATATGGTGCACGACCCCCTCCCACCTCCCTATTCTACTCCCGTCCTTCATAGCTTTACAGTTCGTGCTGTAGTTTCCAATGGCTTCTCCGGCAAAGCTTGTCTTCCTGTCAGTGATGGTTGCGGCGTCGTTCGCCTTCTCCGGCGCCGTCTCCGAACCACAGAAGCACTCCCCTCCGGTGTTGTCTCCTGCTCCATCCGTCCGCAAGCCGTCCCACCCTCCCGTGAATGCTCCGTCTCCGGCCCACGATCTTCCACCTCCATCGCAGTCACCTTCTTCGTCTCCGCCGCCGTCGATCTCCAAGGCGCCTTCGCCATCTCCTTCGGGAACCGCTGCTGCTGCTGCTGCTCCTCCTCCATCGATCTCCATCACCGTCGCGCTCGCAATCGTCGGAGTTGTTTCCTACGTCTGCTACTAATAATAAGCAGCAGTAGTATCTTTCATCATGTCAATAACTGACAAGATCACGAAGAATAGTAGCTTTTAGGTGATTCATGCTTTTGTTTTAGTAGTAGTTTCACGACTTTGTAGTTAGCGGCCTCTAATGGTTAGTGGGGATTGTTCTACTTCTTCTTATTGTCAATATATGGACACGACTCCTGAATAGTTCCTTCTTCTTATTCTGACTTATTATACGTAAGTTGCATGGCAGAACACGGCAGTCTTCATGGGATCAGATCGTGTTCGGTGAAGTTTATATTGTTTACTTTTACGGAGGTGCAGATTATGGTAATTTCGATCTGCTAATCGATGAAGTGATGTATCTCTGTTGCATCTCTGGTAGCTCTAAAAGTCGTCCTCGAAGACAAAGGCGTGACCTACTCATCACCACAGTCAAATGATCGATTCCATATTATGTGGGAATAAATATTTTTATCTGTGTTGCTATCTCCGGAGCTCTTAACACGTTCCAAAGTCACGCTCCATGTTGAGGTCTATTCTCTCCGAACATTGACAGCCGAATACAGCTTATTTATCTCACAAGATCGTGAGAAGATTAAATTGAATTTTGTGATTAGAAAAGAAATTATCTTAAGAGTTATAATTAAACTAGAAATCTTAGTTTTAATCCAAGTGCCATCGATTCTGTTCAGTATGACGCGTGCCCGAGGCAGGTGGCCTCCACTTCGCCGGCCGCGTAAGTCGCGCGATACATGCCTCGGTCGATGATTTTTACGTGGGCCTCTTGGGTCCAAACGGAGGCCCGTTTAGAGCCCGTATTCTTCACGGCAACCCAGAATCGGGTGGGTCCCGCTCTCCCTTTGGTGGGATGTTCGGTTGCCGTCGCCATCCCCATCACGTGCTTCACGCCCTGTTCTTTAATCCCTACCCGTCTCTCATGCTCCTTCTCTCTCCCACCCTCCCTCCTCGAGCGGCTAAAGATTGATTCGTCAAGCTTCCCCTTTTTCTTCCTTTTTGGATTCCTCCTTTCCGGTAGCGAGATCTTGAAGGGTTCTTGAAGTATCATTACCTTGATCTCTTGAAGTAAGCAGACTATTAACCTTATTTCCCGTGATTTTGACGATGAATCGCCCCATTTCGGCACTAAAATTTAGATGATTCTGTCTGTCTCTCGATCGCTACTTCGTGGATTTGTTTTTCAAACTCCGGAGTTCGCACGATAAGAATTCGGATTGCCTCATCGTGGAACCCTTCTTGATTTCGTTTCTTGAATTGTAGGTTTCGTCTCCGGCCGTCTTATCGCGTCTTAGATGATTATTGTTGTCTTGATAACTACCTGTCGTCCAGAAATGACGAACTATGATGCCATTCCATTAGTGTGAAGGACATGATGAGGAATCGTTGTTTCGTATAGCGACTTGTCATGGTATCTCGTTGCCTCTCCATTGGGTACGGTTGTTGCTACGTATTTAAGGATGTATGTACCTTGTCATGGATGTTAAGGATCTCGAAGGGCACAGTTGGAATCAGATCGAGGTTTGGGAACATAAATTGATGCGTAAATGAACGTGGTTCTTGTATGTAAATACTTGGTTGAAAGCAGATGGAGTGGACTTAGTTAATTCCGATTTAGTGTGTAGATCTCATATCATTGTATCGAGGCATAAGCTGCATATGCTGTAAGGCTTTTTTTACTTTCTAGTTAAGATTTTAGGCAACTAAGATAATCTGCGTGTGTGATTGACATGGTCAATATAGAGTGTTACTTAAAAAGCATGTGAGGTGCAATTGCTGTGTTTCTATAGTGCAGGAAATTATCAAAGGTGCCCTGAGTTTGATCCATCTAATGCTCGTGAGAGTTTGTGACTTGCAATTGTCATTCGCTAAGATGGCTTTTTTGGAGTCAGAGAATTCCTAAATTGATCGGAACTGTTTCATAGGAGAATTGATCAAAATGACTAACTTGATACAATATACATTATAATATCTATATTGGATGCCAGTCGTGCAGATAAGATTATGATACTACATAGAGGAGTACCAATATTACTACAGAGAGATGCAAAAAATGTCCATGTTGTTGCAAGATAATTTCTGAATTGTTCTAATATCTATGAATATTTTTAGTTGATATGTGTGTTGCTCCAATAGCAGAAAAAAGATCCACGTAGCCGGCCACAAATAGCTGGGATAATTGTTGTCGCATGTACATTGCTGCTATTTGTGCTTTTACATCGATTTCTATGGTTTTATTTTGTGAAAAATTATCTAAGTTCAGTTTTTAGTGTTTCTAAAGTAGAAGCGAGTTGAATAGTAGTTACACAGATTAAATTACTAAACAAATCCTGATTTTGGTCCTTTTTACAGGCTATGGTTCACAAACTTTGTGTTTGTCAGTTTTTGCTTATTCAGAAAGGCGACATCAACTGTTTGCTGTGAGGCTAACAAGGTGAGTTTTGCTAGATGTCATCATAACCATGTGAGTTGCCACATGGTAGGGGAATTAACTATCTTATCGGCCGATACAAATGTGCTGGAGCTTCATTAGATTGTCTATTCTGCTCTTCATCTATGTCTGATTCAAGCAGCAAGTCCCAATCATTGAACACACTGTCTTCTGAAAATATGCCAAGAAAGGCATTAGTCGCATCCTTTCCCACCAACATCTCGCCTAAGGCTTTCAAAAATCTGGTGTCTTACAAGTTTTCAAGTCAGCAAAGAGGACCAACTGGCCAGATAGCTTTGTTCTTGCTGAAAGTTGCTGCTTTAGAAACAGTACGGAGGTTCTCCAGAGCAAGGTGTCCATTTGTGTGGAAGACCATTCAAGCATTGCAGGTTCTTTGCTATCCACCATTCAAGTGGATTCGCAGATGGACACCATTTGGGATGATGGTTGAAGGCATCCAGGTTTGTCAAATCTTTAAATTGTAGGGTGGTGAAGTCGAATTCTGTACCTGTTTTCACTAATAGAATGCTGCTTCTAGCTTCTCAAGAAAAATAAAAGAAATAGAAAAGAAATTTATGAACTCTTGCACTACAGAAAAGTGATTCTATATCAGTGGCCGTCTGAAGTCTTGCTCTTAATGTTAATTTTGGTTTCTTAGTGAGAATGTGAATCTTTCCTGTTTTCAAAATCCACTGATTCTAAAATCTCCATAACTTATGCAAATTGACAGAAAATATCGAGACCACTATTAGTTCTCTCAATTGCAACAGCGTTCTCTGATTATTCTGCAAATTGTAAGAGTCAAGTTCATTGTGTGGATGATCCTCAACCGAATTCTGACTTACCTAGAAGATCATCGGCTTCTGACGTCAGGTGGGTAAATGATTTTAAAGAAGTATTTCATTTTTGTTACTACTGCTTCTTAGTGCTCTAAGAGTGCGAGCATAGTTTACCTGTGATAAGATACACTAGAATCCCATATTATGATTAATTTAGATGCCTTTTCTGACCTACTGGAACATGTTTCCCAATCATCAGCACAATAAGAACGACATCATGGCAATATCACAAGTCTTTGCTTTTG